ATAAGGATGCATCAGTACCTAGGGACAGTTTAGCCAATGCGACCGGTCGAGAGCCCATCACACGGCAGGTCTTAAACAGTTGATAAAGCACCAGCTGGCTGATCTTAAATACTTTTCCAATGTCACATGAAATTTAGACTCCTATGAAATCTGGTCCCTTTTCCCTTCTTGTATTAGTTGAATGTTTACAATCTTCTCTTACGTTTGTGCAATGCGCAATACTTCCAACAAGTCTACATTTCAAGAGTCCCAAATTCACACTGTAGACAATGGCTCTTCAAGTTCTGCACCGCGTCACAAACTTTCTACCAAGTGTATGCCTATTCATACAATGAGATAAAATGCATTTATGATTTTGTGTGAAAGGCACATACCATATTGTGGCTAGATGGGTGTTTTAAAAATATGAAGTAAAACTGTAGATCAAAACCGTTTGAAATTTGTAAGTTTTAAAACTTGACTTTCTGATCCATAAGGTATACAACAGTAATCGACGTTCCTGAATAAAGTTAAACTTAAAAAGTACTTTGAGGTGAGCAGACTAATGATGAAAATTCCACTTGAGCCCATAACAATGTGTTCTGATTCAGAAAGCCCAAGACACTCAAAGATAAAATATAAAATATAGGAAATAATATACAATGTTTTATACAACATAAAAACATACAGATATTTACAATGTAGGTGAGCTGGGATATGTGCTCAACTACTGACCAGGCTGTGTGAGTACACAGGGACATTCATGCACTGCAGGCAATATACAGGCTACTGCATAACACAAGACCCATGCACTGCAGGCAATATACAGGCTACTGCATAACACAAGACCCATGCACTGCAGGCAACATACAGGCTACTGCATAACACAAGGCCCATGCACTGCAGGCAATATACAGGCTACTGCATAACACATGACCCATGCAGATAACTCACTTTTTTGCACTTCCTATTGCGCTTTTGAATAGTAGCAAGAAACATCAATACCCTTCTGGAGATATGCATCACTATTCAGTCATCAAACACAGTGAATATACTCACACTGCCATGCACTACTATCCAGGCTGGGGGCAGCATTGCATTGCCTTTGTACAGCTGCTTCTATGTCAGTTTCCATACAGCATGACAAACCTTACAACAGTCCTAGATATTCTCGTGACTAAATAAATGCCCTTTCTTTCGGGGAGTGGCTTTTATCAACAAAGGCAAGTTGAATTCAAGACCTTAATTTCATTGAAAACATAATATTCATATTTCATGAACAATTTCTGAATTCTGTGAGTTATCCTACAATTGTAAAAATCAATTCTCATTTGTAAAGCATGATTTTATTCTCCAATCCGGAACTGAAAAAAGGATTCATTTCTACTGAGAGAACTGCACCTCTAAATCTGAATTTTAAAATCCTGAATTCTGAAAAAAAAACACCATCTTGGACCATAAACATAAAAGCACGTCTGTTCCATGAGAAATTGATTGGTAATGAAGCAAGTGTAGTACTCAACATAATTTCCCCTGACAATTTAATTTCAGAAGTACCATACTGTACTGCAAAGGGCCATTTACAGCTTGCTGTCCATTATCACGCCCACATTAAAATAGCAGTATTTCATTTAGTATCTACTTGAACAAATATTTACTATTTCTTTCAAACTTGATGCAAATGGCTCTTTAGAAAACAGAAACTGAGGGTTGTTACCCAGCCTTCCTGCAATGCTATCGACAATGCTGAATCAGGTTTGCCCTTGTATTACTACTGGTGCCTTCCATGGACCAATTTGTTTAACAAAAAGTATCAAAAAGGTACATATCAAATTCAGCATAGCTGACCAAAAATACTGTTTCAGGTGTTTTTTAAAATCTATATTTAGGTATGAATAGCGAACAACTTACAAGTATGTATTCTATGCTTACATGTTTGAAACCACTCAGGACGCCATATGGCAGCGAACACTTTCAAGATTTTGCAGGGAAAAAACCCCATTATTCAAACTGGGCAATGCAAGATGTTTCCCCTACAACTATTACATTTGGTATTTTCAGCCAACACACTCTATTCTAGCGCCCATGAAAACTACTTTGTCTCTGCCTGTGTGTCTGTGACAGCTAAATCTTTACTTCTCCAAGCACTCTGTGTAAACTCAGCTTCTGCTCAAGCCTGATGTTACTTGGAATTCCTATTTAGAAAGGGCAATTTACAGGGATGTGACATTTTAACTCCTATACCAAACACTTAGGCATACAAATCAATTCTGGTAGCCGTCTTGATCTAATTTCGGTTTAATTCTGTGGATTTCGTGCTAAATGCCTGTTGATAAACTGATATATCTACCGACCCTTTTGCATTTTGCAGAGAGATATCTCACTCAGGGGTTTTCTAGCCACACGCAAATGCGATACGACAGAGCATTGTCTATACACACAAAGCTGTTGCAACTCATCGCAGCCAAAGTCATATTGAATTACACGTTCACTGCCTCTTCATTTCCTCCAACTAATACTGTAGGAATGTCCTGAGTGTGCCAATGATTGGATTAGCATGCAGACCACATGCCGACTGGTGAACAGTTCCAGTTGAATCTATGCAATCACATGAATGCACACACTGCCTGCAAACAGACTGTACAGCCTGCATTATGAATACTGAAACCACTGCCAATGAGAATGGTATTGAATTCTTATCAAGGAACAGATGCATAAAGAAGCAAGTAGCGTGTCATATCATGGTATCAGACTGTGTGATGTCACTGGTTGGCGGTTGAGAAGTTGACATACAGCAGGCACCATAGTTGTGGGAACCATGTAATGTATGTGTAGAATGAGAAATAAAATGGGGGAACGATGCAATGGGAACGCATTTTTGTTCCCCCCCCCCAACTTAGTCCTCAATTTTCCTCCAAAAGAAATTGTCCACTCAATGGGGGTCCTGCCAGGTCATATGCACCATCGGGCGGTGAACTCTGAAGTACAAGCCTCATAATTCAGCCACAAAGTAATGCTGGTCATGTACCTCTAGTAATGTTTTTCTTGCCATGTACTGGCCAGTATAAATGCCATCCATTGTCTAAACCACTGGGTACAAATTAACATGCAAACAGGTTTGGCTATTAATCAAAAACAGTCATTTCATAAATAGATCACTGAAATCTTGTGTCTGCTCATTGTTGACTAAAGTTGTGTGACATAATTGAGCTACAAACACCACGGTACAATGAAGCAGTTTTTATTTGCGAATTTTGTCTGCAATATGGTTCAAAGGGTTTGAGTACGCTCTGGGGCAATTGACACAAGAGCTAAACAGGAAGAACAAATTTTACACAATGCCTGAACATATCCGTCATCTGATTGGTTGGTCGCTGGTCACCTGCAACTGAATCACTTATCGAAACATGACACAGCCTCAAAAATAGAGGTAAATGGAAATTCCACATCACAGGAACTGGAAGTTCCACTGAACTCGTAGGTGATGCCAGGTAACACAACATGAAACCTTTTGTGAAAATGGACAGGATAATGTCATTTGATGACACATCTGTCACCTCATGAAACTAGTCTTACCACTACACTCATCATTGAGTATCATGCCAATAATTGCAATATGTTCTCTTTTCCACCGGCATGCACAGACAATCATGTAATGTGCCCAACAGACTCCATTGCATTAAATGACTTAATGTTCAACAATAACATGCAGCACTATGCCTTATTAATGTTGTTGCTGGCCATTTGACAGGTTATCCCAACACTGGAAAACTTAAGGCTAACAACGTGATACTTTCCATTTATTAAGTGGATTTTTGACAAAGTTAGCCATTCAAGCAACTGGAAAAACCTCTATAGATTGCAGTGGCAAAAACAAACCAAAAAAACAAAAACAAAAAACAAAACAAAACAGCTGCATGACCATCCATTTTTCTTTTAGATAGACAGTGGAAAATGGTTTCAGATGTTGTCGTGTCATCTTTTAAACTGTGTTCAGGTAATTTTTGAGTAAACCCCTCCAAATTCAACAGCATTTTTTATCAGCTATGCCCAACAAGAGAACCGGTATTTTCACTACTGATTCTCCACATTTTACTGATGATTTTATTCTTATATACACATGTACATACATTTACAAAAGCTCACTTTTATGTTGTCTTGGTCAAAATCTCCCTTCCTTCAGTTTTGAAAAGAAACTTTGAACTCTTTGGTATAAAAAAGCATATTAAATTCTGTGAATAGTTCTACTTTCAAAAAAGCTCACAGAACACTGCAGCAGCATTGAGCTTAATCTTTAAAGTTGTCATATTCCTGTTGACAGCAAACTGAATTATTTATCCTGTGCTCCTAGTCAAGAACCTTGGGCCGTGTGCATGACTCAGCCAACTATCACTGTCAAAAGACTTCAGCCTTATATGACCCAAGTTACATGGCAATAACTCGGCTTTGGCATGTGACTAACTTGGGAAAACTTTGTCTGTGTGTCTAGAGGTAAGGATTTTTCCAAAATAGTCCCAATCAGTCATTTGCAAGTTAAGTTTGATTCATAAATACCCAGGACAGTTTTTCTATTCCTATTGGTCAAAACGCATCACGTGACTGTGTATTAACATTTGATAATGCCCGCCGAGGAGTGATAATGTCCACTGCGTAAATAACATACTGGCACATGGATACGAGACAGTTTGATGGGGTTTGATTGGTCAGGAGTTTGTGTGCACGTGACGCGCCAAGCGTGCGCCAAGTTCATTGAAGGGGATTCTATTGGACAACTTTCGAAAGGAATACACCATCAAATGGATGGGGATGATTGGGAAAATGAAAAGTAAACTTTTAGAACAGAGTCATTGGACATCCATCATATGTTGACTTCTTTGACTCTCTGAATAAAAAGGTATTTATGAATGTGTTTGGCCAGTTCTTAAACAAGCGTTTAAGACCTTGCTGAAGAAAACAAACACTGATAATGCCCTCGCCTGAAGCATAAGTTGCATCCATTCTCCAGACCTGGTCTTAAGTGCACATTTAAGACCGGCCAAGCGCACATTTATTCCCTTAATAAAATCTGGTACACTGAGTTATCTGACTGCACATAAATGTAGCAATCTGAATTTCTCAGACTAATGACACTGTTGCTATTCCTTGTGATTCAGGGCAAGCTTTTGCATAGCGACCACCATCTCTGGAATGAGAACAATGTAGAACATTGTATTGTTGCGTCTCTTAATGTCACTAAGCAAAAGCTTGCCACGAATCACAAGGTATAGCAACAGCGTTTTTAGTATGGAGCATTCAAATAGTTATGTTAACATGAATTTAAAGTGTACCAGAGTTTATATAAATTGAACTCGCAAAAGGCTTGTTGCCACGGTCATTACAGGCCTAACCTGCCAGGACTGAAAGGAAACTGTTCCCAACAATACAAGAATGACCAGGACTATGCTAAAAAATCATAGCACTGCTATCCGTAACTCTCTAGGTTTAGTGCAAATCACATAGAATCTTGTTGGATTTGGCACGGTTGGGGCTTGAAGACATAAAATAACAGCTTGTCATACAGTGGATTATAGAAAGGTATCTCCTAGGAAATGGATTCTAACTGCTGACTGCTCAACCTTGTTACCAACAGAAAATGTAGTAGATACTGTGTCCAATATAGAGTCAAATTTTGAACACTGTGGTAAGACTGACCGATAAACGTACACTCCAAAGTAAAGTTCTGAAGTGCAGAAAATGGGGCAAAGAGTTCAAGAACAACTGTTCCAAGTGCTGGAAAACATGGGAAAAGGACTTGTATGTGCATTTACGATATCGAAGATGATATTACTGTCTAGAATTCTTCATCACGTTTCATGTTTAATGCTAGACTAATGCAGCACCAAACATTAAAAGCCATTACTGCGGTGGCACTATGCTCACATACCAGTGGTGCCCACCCACTAAAATTCTCCCCAAGCAAGAGGGTATTTTGACTTTAAGTGACACAGGCGTGGTACCACCACAATAATGGTATCTCTATAGATAGCTGTCTGCAGGCAAGTGTTGCTTACAGTAGGTAGAGAAACCCTTGCACACAGATGCATCAACCTCAAGCATTGCCAATGCAGTCCAGCGTGCCCCATACACAAACCATGGCAAATATGTACATAGCTTGAACCAAATTTATGCCTCATTTTAACAACTGCTGCTTGCCCTTTTTTGGACACTTTATGATATGATACATCAAAACAACTGTTTGACTACTGCGATGTGTGACTGGTTCATTACATGTAGTTTACTAACACTAAGAAACAGATGTGGCCCAACTTCAAAGCAAGACATCATGACCAGTTACACAACAGTCTCCAAACAGACCTGTTGAGTGTGAAGTGTGTTCATATGTCTGCATGATTTAAGACACCTTGTGGTAAGAGATCCCTAACATCGCAGCACTATTTAGAGCTTTCAAAATGCGCCTGCCAAATGCTGCCTACTGTACACATTCTAATAAAGGCTTAGTTTCTAAAATCCCTCCACAAGATTTGCCCTCAACACGATTAGCTGTACAGTGTGGAGGCCTATCAGATGCTCATTGATTGCAACTGGTATGTAAAACTGAATGCAAGCACAAAAACAAACTTGGCATTTGTGATAACAAACTTATTGCTACTAGCTCCTCCTTGCATCCTCATCCGGGCTGATCCTAGATTCATGTCGAAGAAAAAAATTGAAAATTTGAAGTTTCACAAGTAGACAGAGATGTTATTTGCAAAGATTATCTTATGCCTTATTCCCATGTGAGGCTCATATATTCAGGGGTGAAGGGAAAAGCTGCATGCACAGTACTCTGGGATCACATTGCGCTGAAGAGAAAACATATACCTTTCTGCCTTCCTAAATTAACCAGGTGATGCACGAATGTATGAGTGTAGCCCAACCTGATCATGAGTATGTTCTTGTTTATCCACGGCATGCACTCAAGGGTATACTTGTATCAACGCAACTAGCACGCTTGAATGCAGCTTGAGGACTAATCAAGCAAAGAAAATAGAAGCCACGATTGGGACTGTACAACACTTGTGTTCTTGTTGTACATGTATGTTAAATGCCCGTTTGATCAAAAGGTTGTCTTCAACTTGTCTCAAAGTTGTGACGTGCTATAGTGCAGGGTCAACACACAAGCGGAATCTCCTGGAAAGGGTCCATTCAATTCATCTAAAAGATTTCCTTGTGAGCCTTAAATATGCAAGTGCTGAACAGTACTTAATTTCCAAGTCTACTTCTCAGAGGCCTTCCAGTGTCTCGTATTTCAGCTGATTGGCTAGGTATTTTTCAATGAAGTCTCGTACCACCTCCCTGGTGATGTCTCTCTCCTGACATCGGAACATGCGCTGTTCAGGTATGTCCAGTATCAGCAGGAGAGGAAGGCTGTCCTCATCGATGCGAAGGAACTCACGTAGGTTGTCCACCATCTCCTCCTGTGAATGGATCAATTTTTAAAAATCGTTTGACAGCTTTTTTAGAAATGCGACAATAGGGCTTGATGATTTTAAATGATTTTGAGTGCATCTGCTGTTTTCAAACACAGTGCCTTAGCCAGTTGCAGCACCATTTGTAATTTCAACAGTTTCTGATTGGTCATTTGTTAAGCTAAACACATGTCATATAAGCAAAGATGGGCAGAAGTACATATCAAAGTATGTTTATCTCCTACATTTCAAATTTATGTACATGCACTGGTACATACATGTAAATCCTGCACTGGTCAAGGCCAATTCAATCACTCCAAAGTAGCCCTGATCAAATGACATCTACATATACTTTTGTGAAAAGTAGAGCCAGAAACCAGAAATAAAGACAGTCTCTGTTCATGCGAAATTAATGCCCAACTTGGACCCACAGGTGGAGGTGTCAAAAATATTCGTCCACAACAGAATGGCAATTCACAATTGAGATTGTTGTCACTTATAAACCGACGCGGAAACTGTTTTTGAGTTTGTACTTTTAATTTGAAGAGGGCAAATATTGGCACACATGTACATGAACCAGCTTTAAATTGAAGTACACTGTACTGCACTGAAACTATGCATGAGCAATGAGACAGACAAAAGGCTACAGATTAATCAAGGAGGAATCAATAAGCCTTGTCAGTGTATGGAGATGGTGCTTACGTCTCCTCCGATGAAGAACCTGAGAGAACAGTCTTTGCCTGAAGCCTCCGCCTTCTCGGTGTACTCCCTAGCTATGGGTAAAAGCAGCTCCTTGGCTTCAATCACATCATCATCGCCCTCAACACCTGATGATGGAATCACATGGAAAGCCACTCAGGATCATTGCAAGGCACAAACAGGTCTCCATCACAGATGAAGAAAAAAAATCACTATGCTGAACTCACTGGTAACATACGAGTATATGGGTATGAAATGTGCTTTGTCAAAACTCTGTTAGACTGTTAACTGGGGGCTTAATATTCTTGGATTTATACTTAATGTAACTCTCAGAACTATATGTTTGTAAACTTAAAGTATCTTTGGGAGTTTCTGTAAATTTCTCTTTTTCTTGGTTACCATTTAAATACATATGCAATCCCCAACCAATACACGGTACCCCTCATTGTATCTACAGCAAGGACATATGCTTGTTTCACACATATAGTATTGATATTTCTTCGTTCTTCTGTGGTTAAGAAAAGTCAGGGAAAATGTTCCTTTTTCTCCCACTACAATAACTCTTTCGAGCTGGATTGTTGATAATGATTTCCTAAACCGTTCCTCATCTATATGCCTTGCATAACGCTGACCCCCAAAATGCCTCTGGAGCTACTTTCCAGAGAGGGGAAACACTGTGTGGACATGTGCGAGTCCACACAACATCATCTAGCCCTACATTACGTGCACTTCTTTTGAGAAGAGGTCCACACTACCAGTATGTAAGCCCCACTAGTTCACTCCTACTTGTCCTGTAGTTGTGTGGACATAAATTCGTGATTACACCAATTCGGTGGGGACCAAAAATATTTTGGGGACAGAGAAACTACCCACAACTCGGTCCCAATTTGCCTAATAAGCAGGATTAACAAACAAGCCAAGAACACAACTTCAGTTGATTATATTCTTCCTGGTAATCAACAAATTCTGCAAAGAACAAACCATATTCTGAAACATGCCAGCAGCAGTGCAATTTCCAATTTCACACAATTATCTGATCTCTACTTCTCGTTTTTCCACTCTCAAGCATTTGAATAAATAACAGAACAAGCCAGCAAACATCATCTCTTCGGTTAAACCCTCTGAAACACCATGCTATTCCCTCCATAAAACTCATAGCCCAACTTGTCATCATGATCAATACTCATTAATTATGGCACCAGTCATTTCCTGTCGCATCTCATTCCATTGGAGGAGCAGTAATTAATGAGTCCTTCAGAACACATTTTCCCATTGACTGGATGCAATTAGGATTGATCCAGTCAGTGCATTCTGTGTATTGAGTTATGTGCTGAAAACAAATATGTGAATACTTAAAAGGTTTATACCCCATATTCATTCTAATGCATTTCTTCTACACACCATACCACCCAAAAACAAGGCGGTCCATCTTTTAACAAGTAAAACTCCATTTTTATACTATTTTCTTGTCATTTTGTATCCCTTTTCCTGTTTCCAAAATTAAATTAGATTTCTGCCTGTACCTGTGCATTATACTGAAATTCAATTTTTGTAGTACTGTAATTCAAAGAAAATTAACACTCCTGCTAATGATCTTTCCCATAAACGTAAGGTCTGACAGTAATCTATTGTTTTATCCTTAAATTTACCTGCAAAGAGAATGAGGCAAGCCTCCTCATTGATGGCTGTGGTGGCTGTATCATCTAGCTCCAATAATGGTGTTGGGTACCAAGGAAAATCCTTTCAAATTAACCAAAAATATCAATTATTTTGATGAAAATTTTGAGACACTGAAACCCACCATTTAAATTGAGACAGGACAATTGTTAAACACTAATGCCCATCCTGTGTCCCTGTCAACAAAGCAATCAATCAAATTGTCTTTTAAGCCAACTTAAAGTGGAGGCTGGGGTAGCCATTACTGTAAGGCTGTGACAAAGTACTTGTCTCAAGCTGTTGGCTTATTTGACTTCCTCTATGCACCAGGAATTGCCTTGGGACCTCCTTATAGACCTCAAGGAGAGGATTCTTGCATCAACCAGCATCAAGGGACCAATTACTCTTTACAACTCTCCTGGGGAGGTTTTTTTTGTTGGAATACCTATGTTGACAAGCTACACCATTGGTAGAGTCTGTGAGAATGGATAAGCTACATGGGTTTGTAGCTCTATGGTAATATGGCGTTTTTACTTCACTGGTTAAAGGAACAGGGAACAAACTGATCACCTCACAAGCATTTATGAGGGGCAAAAAAAGTTTCAGCTTTTTATTCAAACTTTATGGATCATTGTCAGAGCTGTTTTACTGTGTGTCACATGTTTGCTTTCAACATTTAAGTGCTCAGACAGAATCAATGAGTACCCTGCGCCCCTCACCATTCATCATTTTACTTTACACAATATCAAACTTTGCATGCATACAGAGTAGGCCTACACATACATAGTACATGTACATGTCAGGTAAGCAGATGCAATCACAGCAAACTGCCTTGCTCATGAACACCACCACCACAAATCTCTGGTGTGATATAACACACCCATTCCAACGACAATATCCCATTTACCCACAAAAATGTAATGACCCAAAATATTTTTTATGCTAAAAGCAACAAGGAACTTGTTAAAGCAAATAGAGGTATCCAGGTATTGGAAGCAAACAGGACACAGTGTAAGGACATCCATTAAAGGTGTACCACATGTACTCTTGATAAGAAATTGACAATACACTGAAACTCCATATATAAAACAACCCTGGGGACATTCCAAGGTTTGGTTTTCCCCCAGTGGGCTATTACTGTATGTATGGTTTCAATCATTACATCCATATTAAAGACAGATGTAAAAAATATTTCCTCCATTACATGACATTCTTGATATCAGGGGATTACCAAATAACATTTGTTTTCCACGATGCATTGCATCCATTTCTGAGTCAGCAATCTATTCATACTTCCTCCCTTGTTTCTCCCATTTCATGTCTCTGGTTTCGTGACCAAAGAGCTCCATATGCATTGTAGCCTCTGTATGGAATCTTATGCTCTGAGTTCCATCAATTTCCAGCACATGGGCGCCATTTACATCTGATTCATGGCCAGCCTACTCTTGTTCCATCTGGGGCCAGTAGTGTACACATAATTCAGGAGACTAGACTGATATAACATAAGACCTTGACGATCATTACACATACATAAAGCATGGACTGTACTTCCCCATATTACCTTTGTTTAAATTATAAGCAAAGACAATTTATTGCAGAATTATGCATCAAGAAGTATTGAAATAGAGACTACAGAAAGTATTTTTTTGGCTAGCTACATGTTCACATGTTGACCATTTACTGCAATCTCTCTGCCCAAGATGCAGGTGGCAGCTAAATTCTAGGTGTAGGGTACATGCAACATTTCTCCCTAGGATGCATCTCAACCCATCCCAAGTTGAAACACCGCCTCACTGGGACACCTAGCGCACTGCATGAGCCACACATTCTAACACAAATTGGTCAAGTGTGTTTCGTGCATCCTTTCCCAAATGCATGTGAACCTGTGCATATATGCCATGGGTTCCCACCAAACGGCCATAACTGCTACGAAACAGTATGCCATCTCTTATTCTCCCACAGAGCAAATTCAGCTGAGATGCAACCTAGGAAAGATCCCAACCCCAGCCCAACCTCCCCCTCCCAACCCAGGCATGTCCCTTGCTCCAATCAAGCTTACCAGTCCTTCAGGATCCTGAGCAGTCATGGCTCGTCCTTCTAATGTGATGACTTTGCCTGTCTCATCCAACAGTACTAGACTGGGTATACCTAGAATAGGCAACATGGGTGACAACAATGGCAACAAAATCTGTACTACGGTACCATTCTAATCACACTTTATTTCAAAATGACCTGGCAGTCAATGCAAGCATGACGGGAATGTTGATGATACTTGCAGTTGCATACATTTACATGTACATATACAATTCAGTGACTACTAAACACAAAATTATAGTCCAGGATGATTTGTGGAAAATGTTCAACAGTTTTTGGTGGTTTTTGAAAAAACACAACTAAAACTTAACATTTAAATGCTTGTTAAACTTGTTAAAATATGTACTGTCCACACGCAGGCACATAAATGTTCAGGAACATGTACTTTGAAAGCTGTATTTTCATTGGACTTTTCCTTCTGTAGGCACGCAGAGACTTACCACAGCATTCCTTGAGGTCAATCTACCGCACATTCCCACATGGACTTTTTTTAACCATAACAGAATGTTTATTCATTGTGTTAAGACCAGCTGATTACATGTACACTGCCTGCTCTGTACCAATCAAGACAAAATTGGCAAAAAATGACAGAATCAGACAAATTTGGCCAAATCTGCCACAAATAAGATGTACCCATACACAATGTGTATGGCTTTACCCGGGCACAATTCACTGTGTGTGTATGACATGCTGCTGTACAGTACCGGTATGCACAGAGATTACTGTAGGAACTTATACAACCATTTTCGCATATCCGCTTTTGATCTTTGTGTAGCAGTAGTCTGGTTTGTAGGTTTGGTGTGGTTGTGGTCAATCTACATTGTACGGAAACTGTTCCGATCGGACTTTTTTGCGCCCCTGCTAACTTACGGTGGCTACACGGAAATCTTCTGCAACCCTTTCAGCCTGTTAGTTTTACATCATGATCGCAGTAAGTTGACAGAGACATTAGTTTACCGTTTGTTCCCATTGGATTTAATGTTGTAATTCTACAGAAAAGTCGCAGTAAGTTAACCAAAAAAGTCCAATGGAAACACGGCTAAGCTTTCGCAAGGAACTAATGTACATGTACAAAGTAACAAACCTTCAAAATGTACATGTATCTATTCTTTAAAGGCTGACATTCATATCCTATAACTTAACATGAGAGGGACTAAAAAACATTCTCATTGGAAACTTCCACAATACCTGTTGTGCAAATAGTTTTTCCCATTTTATGGAGGTTACTAGTGTATACGTTTAATTTCTGCATCTATAAAGTGTAACTCCAACACTGACTGAAGTGTTTCACAGTGTTACGGCACATGTACATGTACACGAGCCTGTATGGGAATAACTAGATACCATTCTTCTCTTATACATGTATCAAGGAAATGAACATCAACATGGACAATGGAATGGAGTGTCTGTGAATGACATAATATATTTTTGGTTGCCATGGTGACATGTCCATCTTCTGACGTCAATTATCAGTGTTTACGCATTGATTCACCAGTACAGGGATATTACATTGACTTTACAATGAACTGCATCAGCATATTATGTACTGTAGATATACCTTTATAACTCTGTAAAGATTTGGATATAATATACATGTACATGACCAGGTACCGGTATATCGTTGTCAGACGTCAAATCTAATGTTTTAATGTGTGTGACTCAGTTACAGTAAAAGTGCAAAGCCATACATGTATACACAGCTTTGGGACATGAGGTGCCATGTGGCAACATAAATGGTTGGCTGTTGTGCATGGCTGAGTTCTGCTGGTTGATTGGAATATGGCAAAAGACAGGTCAAAGTTGAACACTGGTATGCCGTGCCAACAGGGGTGCACTTTCTTGGCGGCTTATCCGCAGGTGTTAAAAGTCTCTCTTTACAAAGCTCTGGGTGCATTGTAAGTACAGCGCCCTCAGTTAGCATGCACATGGACAATACCAATTCCTTTTTTCATACTATGTCTCTGACAGAACCTACCTGATATTGCAAACATTTTAGACAGCTCACTGCAGCGTGGGTCACTGTATGGCAAGGCCAGCCATGGCATGTTGCTATAATAGGACTCAAAGGCATCTTTCGTCCGGTCAGTACTGCAGAAGATGAATTCAAATTCTGTCTTGCTGGCCTGCAGTCTTCTGTACATGTCTGTCAGGACGCGAGTGAATGCTTTGCATGGTGGACACTGCATAGTGAGAACATACATGTATGGTAACTAGCACAGTATAACAACAGGATAATACTATCAATGTTCACTTTGACCTCTGGCAAAATTTACATGAATTCCTTAACGATCTCAAGTATTTCTCTTCTAGGACGGCGAGCTACGATGCATGTTCAAATACACATGGGAGATTTTGTCATTGATTTAAAAGGTGTAAAGAAGCTTTTAAGGCACTCACCCTCTCATTTCCTTCCTCTGGGATCCTCTCAACCAGTTTATGCACCTTTTTCATTTTTTTTATACTGCATAATTGAATGTACATGCACATGTGCCTTTGCAAAATGGATGTACCAGTAATAGAGGTCTGAGATGACAAAATGAAATACTAAAAATCCCCTACATAAAAAAAATCTTTCTTACAAATGCCATTCAGATATTTGGAGGCAAATATCTGAGAATTTGCAAGAACACCAATGACAAAAGTCAAAGCATAGTGACAGTACTTGCTTTGCTCCCGCTTTGTGTACATGCTCAGTTCAAATGGCACAAATCACTGATTAAGACCCCGCCGTTAGTTCAATATTAAAAAGGAAACTGAATAAATTCAAGAAAGTCTGCATGTTCCTCTGCTTTCTGGAATCCAGTACCACACACGCCACAATGCTCAGTGGCTAATGCACTACCCCCTGTAAATGTTAGCACCTGCATGCCACTTGGCTATCACAGTGGGGAGTCCAATCAGACAAAGCAGCAAGACTCACGCAGTTACCAGTACAGCCAAATTGCCCATGGCAAACTTGCGGTTAGAGGATGCGCTTCCGATGGCAGACTTGCGGTTAGAGGATGAGCTTCCTGTGCCATATTTCATACATATTTCCAGGAATCCTTTTATTTACCACTTGTAGGTAATGGTCATTTCTGACTGCTGCAGAGCTCAAGAATTGTTCGCTTTTATTTTCTCAGTCTGTAATTCCACTTTTATAGTTAGGACACTGGAAACATTTGTGCATTACAGAGGCATACCAACAGGGTAGGGGATCACAGTCCTAGCTGGTAATTCCCTTCCCCATGAAGTCTGTGCTTTCAGATTACCCCATCTCCCCATTTGAAATTCACAGCCTGTGTACAGTTAATTTGCATCCACTGCCCCCTTGAAAAAATGTGTCCAACCCCTCCCCCTAAGAACTTCCTCCTTGTAAAACCACTGTAAGATTAACAGCTTTCCCTCCATGTAAACTTTTAGTTTAATTCTGTGTGGCCAATTCACCTCAAGCTGAAAATTACGTGCATGTATACTAATTACAGCTTTGTAAAGAGCACCTGCAATTACTAAAACTTCTACCTTTGTACATGTACAAAATTCTATTTGATCTCTTGAGATGGATCAACAACTGGGTCTGCCTCTGCAACATAGCAAGCAACAGCTGTGAGTGTCATGCTTGTTTGGCTGAGTGTGTTGGGCCTGGCGGTAACTGTACTCCAAATAGTCCATCCAATCCTGTGTTTTGAAGTCCCTTGTTCATCAAGTTACAGCTTTGAGTGTATTTGAACAAGCTAGCAGTTTAAGTTAATGCTTTGCAAGGCATGATCGGATGTCCTGGGAAAACTGAAATGTGAGATGAGTATCAATCAACGATTTGGAGGAAATAACAAATGTTTCAAACTGAAATATCTACAATCAGCGACTTGCAATTTGTAAATATTTGACAAAATAATATGTGCCAAACTGAATTTATGGTGCCCAGACCATGCAGATTATTTGTCAATGAAATCCATTACATGAACCAATAGTGCATTTCGTTTCTTGAGGGAATGCCACATCTAAATTGTTTAAGATATTGCAGTTGCTGTTTTTATACATGCAGCAACATGTGAACTCCCTTCACAGGACATTCATTTCTTCTAGCATATTGACACCAGTGTATTCATAAAATAGATTCTGGTATGTACATAAATTAACCTCCTTGATAGCTGGATGGATGGACAGTTGTAGAAGCATGATGTACCTGTATGCAAAGGATTGATGTATGATGAAGGATTGGTGGTAACGGGGTCAAGGTGAGGACCAGGGAATTGTAAGGACAGTTTGTAAAGCAGTGATGAGGTGGGAAACAGAGGCAAGCGGAAAATGTGGGGCAGTGGTTTGGAAGGGTAGTGATTAGTGAAAGGTTGCACCAAAAGGGAGGGGCATCACTTAGTAAGGGATGGGATGGGCCAATAGTAAGGAAAACTGGTGTGGAGTGTGTGATGGCTGTAGCAGGGAAGGAGCAATAGTACACAATAAGCGATCTCCCCTGCATCGCATCGCTTTTTGCTATGTGTTTGGGCAATTCTGTGATCCGTTTTCAAAATTACATCACAGAGGCCGGATACAATTTGTGACAGAGATTTCCAATCAAAGAATTAAAATATCTTTGGAGATCTTCAACAAATAGTTACCAGAACAGTTATTGGTAAAATAAGTCGAAACAGGATGAAAGTCCCACAACGCGATCGCTGTACCACGGTGAACACACGCACGAAACGTACATGTACATGTATATGTACGTATCGGTACATGTACGTATCGGTCCATGTACGTATCGGTCCATGTACGTATCGGTACATGTACGTAGGGTGCACATGCAACTTAGAAAGTTCATGCTGTGGAGAAGTCACATGCAACAGGAATGAGATTGGTTCCCAACACTGTGTTGCACCACTGAAAGATACACAGTAGATGGACTGCAAACCAAACTCCAGCATTTACTGTGTTTTTACTCTTTAATCATCTATTTTGTATTTGCTATGCATAACTAACACTGCGTCCGCACTTGATCCACCATTTGCCATATTGCTGGATCAGATCCCCTAATTGGTGGATCAGATCCGGCAATTGGTGGATCAGATCCTGCAATTGTGTGTAGTGGGAACGCTAACCGTTATAAGGTTGATCAGGATCAGATCCACCTTTCTTGATCCTCCTCTGGAGCAGGATACAGATCCCTCAATTGGTGGATCAGATCCTGCAATTGGCAGGTCACGATCAGATGGGAATGCAAAAGGTGGATCCATCCGTGCGTGAGTTGGGCGAAACTTTTGCGGTCTGATGTTTTTTTGCATGTAGCTCATGTGAAAATTTGTAACGTGCACAACATGAACAATAAAGCACTGCTGAACTACGGGCTAATAAAATGTGTCACCACGCATGCGCGATACATGCATGCCTCGATGTGTGCCTAGCTCTTTCACAATTATCATTGCGTATTCGTCCGTTTCTGAACTTTTTCATTCGTGTAACTTTACTTGCTTTCCATCAAAAACTAATACCGTATTAGCATATGACCTGCAGCGTGTAACAGAAGCAAAGTTTGAAAGACAAAGTACTAGGCTGAACATTCGATTTGATTCAAGGTTGTCACGTCAGTAGAACTCCGCATCTAAGAAACCTTTGGATTTCTTCCTCCATGTCGAAAGCTTGGAACATCAAACCACCGCAAGCATACGCATGCAATTTGACCCATCCCAGCATGCAACACTGCCACAGAGGATGCGCTCAGCAAGCTAGTGCATGTGTAATACCCAACTCAGTGACCTTTCGGGCTCGACATTTCCGTGCGAAAAGGTGGATCAAGCGTAAGTGGGAATGCAACTTGCCGTTTCGTTGCGGTAAGACAATGATCACACCAAAATGCTGGATCAAGATCCACCTTTTCCCAATTCAAGTGGGAACGCGATGTAATTGATTGTGTGAAATTCCCGGGGAATTTGTCTAGTGTGAAAGCCCCTTATGGGGTGTGGTAAAGGGGTTGTGGAAAGGAAAGGGCAGTGGCAGGGGAGGGTGCTAGGGAGTGTTTAGCAGGAGGACATGGTAGTGTTGCATGGGCTGGGACAAGAGGGGGCAGGGGAAAAGGAGGGTGAATAATAGAAGACAGTAACAGGCAGAGGGGAAGTGCTTACAGACAGGCAATGGTAAAGAGAGAGACAATGGTAGAGGCAATGGTGAAAGCAGATATGGGGAAGGCTTTTTGTGGGGGGAAGTGTGGTGGCATGAATGCTGCTGAGGAGGACAAGAGAAGTCTACTAGGCAGCTGTAAAGAAAAGTAAAGGCAAAAATGACTTACCCAGTGAGCTGAGAAGTAAATGCCGACTATTTTGCCCTTGAGTTCTTTCTCTGCCTGGACTTCGTCACCTTGCTTCAGGAGTTTACCTGCTACCACTTCTGTGGGTGAATAACAAGCAAGAATCATGATGAAGTCAAATACCACAAGTTCTGCTTTGCTCAACCTCTGACAAATGCTGTTTGGCATTTAAGTTTTTTGTAACATACTTTAAATTGAATTTGCTAGACCACTAAATCTTACCTTTTAAATTACAGTATGAGTAAACTGATAAGAAAGACCTCAAGAACTACAGACCAATTAGTTTGCTTTCAAATATCTACAAATTTTCACTAGAATTTTGACAGACAGAATGAAAAATATACGGAATGGAAAAAATGGACGGCAACCAATCGAGAGAACAAGCAGGTTTCAGAAGATCATACTCAACTATCGACCACATTCAAACCCTAAGCAACATCACGAGAGGAGATATTCCATTATGACTGAAAAGGAAGGTGTTCGAACAGAGCGTAATTCCATCAATGACTGGAGCAGAAAGATGGGCACTGAAAACCAAACTGGAAAAGAAAATAGCTGCAGCACAACATGACATAGAGAGGAATATACTTGGCATTACATATAAAGATAGAAAAAACAAATGACTGGGTTAGAGAACAAACCACAATTCATGACATTTTGGAAATCATTAAACTCAGTACGTGGCGATGGGCAGGACACCTTAGTAGGACAAAAGACAACAGATGGAGCTCAATCATAACATTATGAAGATCTATGGATGGCAAAAGGAACAGAGGCAGACAGCGAGTGAGGTGGCGAGATAACCTGGACAGATATTGGGGCACTGTTCACTGGAAAACAGCAGCTAGAGACAGAGCAAATTGGCATCAGCACACTGAGGCTTTTGTCCAGCAGTCGATAGATAACAGCTGATGATGATGAGTACACTACATGTACATGTAACGTGAAATGTCTCTTGCAATGGTAAATCTCAACACAGTTTGCAAAATGTTCAATTCAGAACAATGTAATGTACATGTAATTAATGTACATGTAATTACATACATTCATTTCAAACTAAGTTTTGGATCCGTAGGTAACAATCCATATTTAGTATTTCAGTATGTATGAGTACTTCACAAACTGTGGTGCTGTCGTTATGCAGCATGTTATAACATCTTTCAAATTATATACACAATGTCCATGTACAGTGTATGTATTCAAGGGTGATAACGTACGTACATGTTCACGTAATTAAATAACAAAATAAATCAGTGCACATACTTTAAAAATGTTTTTAAAACTGTATACATGTAAGTATTAGTCCTTCTGTGTGACACAGCATCATAAAGGGGGCCAGTTATGTAAGCAAAGCTTCCCACATGGTTATCAATTCCTGCAAGTGTTTCAACACCCCAAATATTTCTTTCTACTTGTAAATAGCCATACAGTCTATAGACTGCATAAAACAGATGAGCACTTCACGTTTTTATCAAGTTGTTACTCCCTTCTGCTGTAAAAAAAACACAAAAATGGAACTAAATTTATTTGTCAGTTTTGACATTAAAATAGACATTACATGTATTTCTATTTTAAAACAGAAATAACTTTTAGGTCTTAATCCAGTTATAGTTTTCACACTGATACACATGAAGAACAGGTGGTGAACCACAAAGCTCTACACATGGCGAAAATGTAAAAACCATCAGGGAAACACTTCGAACTTGACGGTAACTTAACTGGCTCCCTTCAACGTGCTTTGTGCTGTCTCAAGATTGACAGACACTGATAGTTCACACATACAGGTGCATGCACCATACATGCATGTACGTGAGTAATATTATAGACTTGTCATCTAAAACTTTAAATTTTAAATTTTGTTTCAGAATCGGTGTGTGCACCAAGCCTTCAAAAATGATCATACAATGGTAATCCACTGCCGATACCTGTATGTACACGTACACATGTATGAGAATATCATCCTGTTACTAAACACCATCAGTTTCTAGGAGTTTTTTGGATCACTGATTTTTCCTACAAGAAAGAATGTCAAAATTTTCGTCAAAGTAAAATTTAAAATCTCGGTGAAATCCTTTCATTTGTCATTACACTGCATTGTATCTATCTGCTTTCATTCCTCAGAACACTAGCAGTGAACTGTAACAACCTCTCCTCTCATTGTCAAGAGTACTTGAATGTGTATCATTCATTTCTGTCTCAAATCAAACACACTGGCAGACTCATTCATCCCAAGAGTAAATTTATGACAGAATGGTAAAACATTAACACAAGACGATATGTTGAAATGCATGTGCATGGAACAGTCTGTGCATTGACACTAGCGCTCCCTAGATTGCGGGCAATTACACTTTAAATCAGAGCTGTCAACCCCCCTGGCAACGTGTCATCACCGCTGCGTTCATGGGCTTGACTTCCCAATAGAACCTGACACGTTGACTTGAAGCCTCTCTGTGCCTTTTGTCTCTACGGCCCCCCGAAGAGCGATGTCCAGAGTGTTGATCATGCAGGGTCTGGGTCTGCCGAGCCAATGTGATGTTGAGACAGGGCTGTCACCCAAGACGATAATGGCCAACAGGGTGATGGAGGAGGCGGGGCCAAGGAAAGACCGAGGAGGATGAATTTCAACCCAGAGGGTAGGTTATGGGATGTGTGAATACCACATGTAATGTGGCGACATGATGTCCCAATATCCCAATATATGCACTTCAACTTTACTCATCTTTTGATTTCACTGATGGCTTAGTTACATGTACACGTATATTTTAAATGAAGTGAAGAAATTAAACAATTGCTTATCAAATCATAAAATGACCCTTGTTCCTTGCAATCCTACATTGGAGAGTGACCACAACATTGCATGCTACCTGAAAATACTCTCATACAGGTTCATTCATCTTGTTTTTGAAATGTACATTCTAACAACAGAGTTACAGTATACGTATCAAAATACCTATACACTGTAAACTATGATCACACAAAATATGGTTATTAAGTTCCAGTTGCATTTTGAGGCAAGATCAATCCAAAGATGTTAAGCATTTAAGCCTTAAGCAATATTTTTTCTCAATATTTCCCATGGAGCACACACGTCACTTCGTATGCTGCGCAATTTAATGTATCAAAATCTGTTAAGTCCTTTCCATACTAGTATACAGAGTTCATGTTCAAGGTGACTGGAAGTTGTGACATGAAATGTTTTTTTGCGTGCGTGCAATCTTAGACCATCAGAAAAACTTTGAGTTAAAAACCTTCTTCAACAAGATATCACTTTTTTGCAGACTTGGGCTCTCATGACCTCAATAAAGCACTGAGCAACTATTAACAACATGAAAGCCTACATGTACATACAACACTGCAAACCAAAACAAAAAGGGCTCATCTGGTTCAAATGGTAAAACACTGTTTTTTAAATTTCAACTGTAAAAAAAAAAGAACACACACAGGATCGAAAATGAGTCACTCATACTTCACTTTGCTTTGTGAACCGACAGCATCAATGTACTGTTAGTTTCATGCTTGATTATGTGGTCTCGGATTGCAAACCTCACACAACAAATGTGTCCATTTTCACTGATGGCCAGAACGACGTACCGGTACCATCACCGCGGCGATCAGAGATTTGACTTCTCAATGGGACCTGACACAGTGACATTAATGTCTGTGGGAGGCGGCAGTGTGAGCAACAGACATCACGCCAACTGTGCACAAGGCTCAAGACACAATCTCGGGCCGGGAGAGGGGCCAAGACAAAGAGACTAGGGTTACACGTACAAGGACCTTCTTGCTGATGACAGTATCGAGCCTCCAAAAGGAGCGAGACAGACTGACTGCTCTAAAGTGTTCAGATACACTCCATATGCAAACGTCATTACAATGCTTGAAGAAATGCACACTTACATGTATACATGTACTGGTGCATGGACTGGTACAGTACATGTACATGTACATGTACATACATGCGAGTCCATTTGTTCTGTCAGACTGTGTGAATCATGCTGAGCAAAGAAAGAAGTGTTTGCTTTCTTACATTTTCCATTGAACAAATGAAATTAGATTTTAGGGCTCTCAATACATGTTTTACTTCTATGATTGTAAACACAGTAGGAAATCTAGTAATGAACAGACAAACAAATTCCTTCTTTCTCAAAAGAAATATGAAAAATCTTCTTGTTTTCACATCACAGTAGGAGCGAGGCTCCCGAAAGTCTCCTTTCATGCAAATCTGAATACAGAAAATAACAGCCACTGATTCACTATGAAAAAGCCAAGAACCCTTTCCAATTACACTGTGTCTGAAGGACAAGTTTAGTATGACCTCTTAAGCAACGTGATTCCAAGCTTATGGAAAGAGTAAATAACTAGAATAAAAAGGCAGAAAGCCTGAGGGTAAGGGTGTTAATGAATGTCTGCCTCTCATTACAAATGGGCTTGTACCATTCATGTATCGTACACGCATCACTCCTCACTGCCATGGCAAAATCAAGTTTTGTGTACAGTGTATGGCACAATGAACGAAAGACACATGTACCTGTCAATATCAAAAGCTTTTTTTTTTGAGTGAAAGCAAAAACTATTTCTCATACCAAAATTTTTGAAAAAAATGCAGGCACTAAGAAACGACTAGGTACATGTATGTATTCGTGTTTGTGCTCGCAGTTTTTGAAAATGCCATACATGTACTGTACATGTATGTACGTGGGTTTAATGGATATTGAAATGTTGCGTAAAAATGTTTGGGTTCCTAAACATGCTTATGTAACGAGTTATATTCTTCAGTAAAGTGTTGCATTAATGCCAAGTAGATTGATCAGGGTTTTTTAATTGGTTAAAAAGAAAGGCTAAATTTGAACAAAACAACTACAGAAGAGCAAATAAGATGATTTTATCTGATTAACAAGAAACATCTACATGTAAGATTCAAGTGATGACAACACTGGAATGTGGAATTTCTCACAAAAACAGGAACCCTTCGCATGTTTCCATACGTAATGAAATTCTTTTTAACAAAATGTCTTTTAGAAAAATCTGTTCTGAAGATGATTAACATAAAACAGGTTATTCATTCAAACATGTTACTCCT